ACAAAAGTTGCACGATCTCTGCTATTCCACGAATCGCTGATTTAAGGTCTGTCCTTAACGGTGCGAAGGAAAAAAAAACGAAAAATTGTCTCTGTTCAATTCTTTTGTTTATTTGTTTATTTATATGTACAGTGTACACTCATCTGAGTGGCCAGTATAGATAACCAAGGACAGGTATAGAGCTACAGCAGAACCCATACAAGGTCAAGAAAACCGAGCCGAACCTGCAATAGTATTAAGCTGAATTCCGTATTTGTACGTGGGTAGAGGTGGAACAGACCCCTCTATAAGGGTTGGGCCACACACGCTTCAGCGACTGAACTGGCAGCTTTCAGAATGAAGGAACCAACATCCAGTACCCATACCAGCTGGCCATGGTGCCCCATCCAAGAGTGAGTAATTGGACAAAGTCGGCAATTTGGCACATGGGTATGCCAACCTGCCTCATAGAACCGCCTTGTCGGACTTGTATTGAAAATGCGAAAGACTGAAGGCACTTGTCGTTGATTGTTTAATTGCTAATGGTTCATGGAAAGCTGTGTTGGAGTGAAACGGTGCTCCGGCCGGTAGAGCAACTTGTAGCGCACTTTTTCGCTAAGTGAGAGGTGTTCGAGTACGAGTCCCGCCAGAGGCCTAACCTTTATTCATACCGTAGTGTTCTTATCAAACAGAAGCCACTACTATATTGCAATTCCCGCTGTGAAACTTAGCAATGTTGGCGCAGTTACTTTGATTCCTCCAGCCATCATGTGAAGCCGCCCCCTTTCATCCCCAATGACCCCTAGAAGGTGTTTTCTCTCCTTTGTTTCACGGGGTTAATAGCTGCGCGATCGCTCTTAATGGGAGGCTTCGGGGGATGGAATCAGTTTTCACGATAGGAGTATAATCTAATTCTGCTACCTTAGTGGGTCAGTTGAAAGCTATTTCGTTTACGGTTCTTTTTGCGTTCCAAATGCGCCATAATGTGCTTCGTACTGCTGACGCTCAAACCTCAAAACCTTCATGGTATGGGAATTATATGAAAGGATCCATAAGCAACAAGTATTTCTGTGGTACCGCATAGTTCCCAGGCAAAAATAAAATTGAAAAAACAGTGATCTCGGGACTTCATCAAAGAAAGGGTACTATTTCAACAGTAGAAATTGTTCAATTCGCCTCGTACCTATACCAAACGACAGAAATAAAATGCTAAATGCTGAAATGTCAGGGCAAATCGTACCTGACTTTGTCCATCTGTTACCACGACAGCCACTTTTGGGATATCTCCTCCTCTTGCGCCGTCAAATCCTCGATCAAGTGCCAATTTTAGCGCTTGACCCGTGTTCGTGGCGCCGGAAAGAAAATTGATCCGCTGTATTGCCCATTCCAGCTGAAATCATTTGTAATACGACTATTCCTTGGAGCATCATACCTTCCAAAAAACGGTTGGTCCACATTTTTCGCGGGGATTCCATGCAGTGTAAATTTTCCAAAAAATATGTAGGTACGCTGTACACAAAACAACGTTCATGCATACATGCAGATGTGTACGGTAGCACAGAATTAGAGTGACAAAGTCTGAGCCTTTGAGTCTACAGTATCTTTCGGGCTATACAGGGGCCAATAAAAAAAGACATTTTGTCTCCCCACTCAAATTGATTTAATCGCATTTCGCTTGATTCAAAGCGAGTGCGCCCAACATAGAAACGGTGAGCACATTTCATTTCATAAGAATTTCTTCATAGTGGCCATCTACGTGGACGGCGTCAGGAAAATTTGCCCCGTAAACTTTGTGCACTGGCCGATCTCGACGGGGTCCTCGACGGATTGCGCAGCGTTACTACGGGTTCCGAAGAGTGGTTCCGAGGGGGTTTGCATAGTTGGAGGTAATGTCCCCAGAAATCTATCACACATTGAATCGATTCAAAAAATTGTGTAAGAGCTTCTGGCTGAGGCAATTACGGTAGGTCACCCTGAGCTCGATGACGATGAGAGATGACGTCATATCCTGAAAACCGAGAGGGCAGTGAGGGAGGGATTGCGTACACCTATAGAGGGACAATTAGGGAATATTATGCTGAAGAACTTCCACCGACATCGGCAATCCCTGCGAAGAAAAAAGGGCCGAAGTGCGACATAGGCAAAATGTCTTTTTTTGGCCTGCATGTATGTAGTATGAGCTGGCCGTAGCGTTCAAAATTCGGCATTATTTTATAGGTTCTAGACGAACCTGCGTTGGATGGGTGTACTGATTAAGAGCAAACTCGAGTCGTGGTGTCTCCGCATATTGAATGATGGCCATCCGACTGCCTTCGCTCGATATATTCATCCGTTGGGCCAAGTGCATAGCAAAAGCAATCTGAAAACTTACTGTTGTTTTGGGAACCGTTCTGGAAGTTCATACGACAGTTTTCTTGAATTGAAAATGGCTTCTGTCTTCTTTCTTTTTATTATTTATTATTCTATTTTAGCGCAAAGTTTTCTTGATTCTCTCATCCCATTGGGACAACATACATTCGTGCTCTTACGTTCTCCCCGTTCCTGCACTTGTTTTTCCCCCATTCTTCGCTTTCCCTTACAAACAAAAGCACAAATACATCTAAAGGTATTTTTATGAGCCAATTTAGCTTTTGAAAAACCACTACGTTGCTCGAAAATGGTTCGCTGACCTGATTCCGGAAGGTGTCATCGCCGATAGATCCAGACCCGTCCAGTACCAACAGGAGGTCGACGGATTTATTGCTTACACATTCTGAAGTACCAGTCATTCAAATTGAAGTATATCGCACTACTACAAGGAATAAATTGCTGAGAAGTTTTCTTAGGAACCTTCCCTTACCAAGGTCTTGGCTCATTTACAATCGGTAACCTTAATTTTTTGTGGAATAGCTGAGAGATACCATCGGAAAATAATATGTAAGAACTTGCCGTGTATCAATTCGGAGTCAACGAGACCGTTATCGATGGGGTTTGAAGAAACGCCCAGGAAAAGCAGCAAAAGCGGCCAAATGATCTTCTGAAATCAGACGAGACATTGCATTCCTGACGAGAACATAATAGAAGTATTGTTTTCAAAGTTTTGTACTATGAAATATTGAAAAGCACACCATCACACGACAGCTCATCTTACTGTTGATCATTGCATTCCTGACGTTCGACATTCGTGGCTCAATCCAGCACTATCATAATCAACGAGCTGCTTTTACTCAATTTCTAAAAGTATGAGCCTGTTCTGGTTCGGAGATCAGAAGATCAAGAGCATGGATGAAAGAGGTGATCGCTTTCACAGAGAAGCTAATTCATGAAAGGCTTTGCAGGAAGCGAAAGCAAGTATAAGATGAATAAGGTTTGGAAAAAGTGAACACTGTATGTATGGTAGTATTGGTGCGAAATTGACCGACAGTGAAGCAAAGCAGATGAATATATTTAACACGCTCAGTTCAGAGGCTTGCTCACCTTTGTAGTGTGGCCGTCGTGAAGCAGTAAGGCCGATGTCAGACTTTGCGAATCGCGCGATTCGCTAGCGAGTCGCGCGATTCGCAAAGTCTGATATCGCCCTAAGAGAGTGAGCGGGAGAGGAGAGTGTGAGACGAGAGATCACAACAGATGAGGGGACGCAAAGAGCAGCATGCTCGAACGAAAATTGCATCTGCGCAGCAAATTTTTAAAGGCCCTAGCTCCCGTGTTGGGTAGTTTCCAAGTACATAAGTTCCATATTTGTGATTGTCATCCAGGGCCTCTAAGCAACAGACTGAAAGGATTCGTTCACACAACTTCTGCTTGGATTGTGCCTCCAGAGAACAATGCTGCCAGGGATGACTCCATTAGAGCAGTTCATTCAAAAGCACGAACACGATTCCAACAGGTCTTTGTGTGGTCTCTGCATATTGAACTCAAAGCATGGTGTGAAATGGGCTGGGAACAAAAAACAAAGGGGAGAGGACGCTTGAATCATAGCATTAGTGATTGATACTGTATTGCATTGTTATATTGATACTAATTCAACTGGACTATTAGAGAATGAGTATGGAGTGGACAGGACAGGCGAGTTAGCAGAACATATAAGCTTTGCACTCAACGGATGTTACCAAATTCCAAACAGGAGCAAAAGGACAATCGCTCAGTCAATCAAATTCACGATCCACGCATTCCATGTTCATTGAAAATCGCTTTGGCTTTTGGATGTATAGCTGTCCTACAGGGCTAGTCTGCTTATATTTCAGTGTTTTTGAACTTCTGACCGAATCTCGTTGTTGCTGATTAGCCATATCCGGAAGATTAGTACCTGGCTTACCTAGCCTTGGTTGGATTCGAACTGACTTCGGGTCACCGGCGTAGTGATGGTGTTATTGGCAGTACACCACCATCACCATTAATGCAGAAGTTGAAAATATCGACGACGTCATTGTTATCCATTAATGAGAACAAATCAGCAAGCAGTAACTACATAGGCATCACTGCAGTTTTACATTTCATGGTCCCACGATGTTATTGCATCATTCAACAATTGAGTTATAGGTGCCTTTAGTGAGGAAAAGAGGAAAAGAAACAGTTTATACACAGAGAAGATGAAAAGTTCTTCCTTTCGGCGACGGTCGAGTCACGGGCAGTCTATGGAGGCAGAAAATCCATGAGGCACAGGGTGCAGAGTCGAACGAACACAGTAGGAATGAGAAAACATAAGGGGTGAGTGCTCATAGTGATTACCATCGTATTCTCATCGGCGAGCAATGTGGGCTAAGCCAGGGTCAAAGACCAAAATAGCAGACGCTAGCCTTAGCATCAGCCACACTTTTTGATTGAAAAAGTGGTAACCCTTCCCTCCACATTTGCAGCGCGGCAAACTTTATTCACGGATAAGGTAGGCCGCGCTGGATTCAGAGCCCTGAGTGCTAACCACAACCCACAGGATCGACAGCAAACACATCCATTGGTATTGATTGTCAACGTCAGAGGACGGACATTTTATTTGGAAACCGAATAGAAACTCGTGCTCGGCTCGTGACAACGTTCAAAAGAGTAGCTCCTGGGGAGATTTGAACTCCTGTCGTATGTTTCAGAGCCCTGAGTGCTAACGGCTACACCACGGCACCGACAGCAACCGCATCCATTCTACTCACTGATCACAAGATTGCTCTAATGCAAGTCCTCAAACGTGCATCGAAGTTCCAGAAAAAGTCTTTGAAAAAGTGGATTTTTCTGACTGTCGGAGAGACTTCTTAGCAGTTTAGAGCTTAGCTAATCTAGGTTTCGAACTCTCTCAAAAATTTAATGCTCTTCTACTTGAATGACCGCCAAGACATGTTGGAAAATTATCGCTTTCTTCTGCCTTAGCACTGCAGTATTTCAGTAAGTGGTCACTGAACAATTGTCGTGGCAATTTTATTCCCACGACGATTTTTTATGGGATTACAATTCCTGACCAGGTTTCGATGAATTACACAGCATCTGGAAGAAACAGGCCCCTTTTGCTTTTTTCCTACACTTCGAGAACATAATCAGTTCAGCAACGATTTTGGACGATTTTTTTTCCAAAATGTGTCATTTTGAAGGAATGTGGTGTAGTCCGATGGCGCTGCTTCCACGCGTATGATTCGAATATCAGCTAAGGGATCGTACGTCGACTCGGCGAAGGAAGCTTTCTATCCTTTCAGGATCGGACAATTGGTACTAGATTTGTCTGGGACATTTAAAACACTGACTTTCACGTGAGCTGGCCACCACACGTCATCGTTAGGCCAAATCGCATTCGAAATGCCACTACATTTCTAAACAGAAGCGGAAGACGCATCATAAAAAGAGTACCCCTATAGCTCTTTCCAGTTCTGCTCGACTCTTACAATCATCCCGTTGTAGAGCCATTGATAAATGCATTGTTCGAAATTCGATCTAATCCGACGATTTAGAAGATATCGTCCGCAACAAACTTCCACAGACATGCCAAAAGAATATGAGGGGCTATGAAGATACGCAGGTGTTGAAGCTTCCAATAGCTCGGATTAATCTCGCATGAAATGCGCCACTTATCCTACTTCTATTTGGAATTGTAAAGGCATTTGCATGCGATTTGCAGCTGACAGAACTTGCGGGATAAAAAATTAACCTATAAGCTTCTTCACCACTTGCAGGCTCTGCGAAAGGTATACAAGTCTTTTAGCATTTTCCGCCATATGTTAAAGGCACTGAGAAAAAATAAAAAGTGGCGTTTCAAAGCAAATTTGGAACGAAGCAATAAGAAATTTGACAGAAACTAGGAAATCCTAATTAAAATGGTTCAGTGAAGAGAATCCCAAATTGAAATAGTTCAGTAAAGTAGGGAGAGAGCATATTATAATTGCTAGTCATCACTTAGAAAAGAAAAAGAAGTTGATCCAACACAACGAAAAAAAAACTGAGAGTTCTTTTACAAGAATGCTGGGCTGAGCAAAACTTTCTCCCAGTTGGGACTCGAGTCCGCACCCCTCGTGCACATCTGGGCGAAACTTTTATTCGCAACCGTCAACATAGCAGTTAACAAACAAAAACAAGCCGAAATGATGATTCCTCGCTTTCTTGATCTCACAATCAGAAAGCCGGAACTGCACAGCATCCATCTCGCGCTCGTCAGCATCGCTACAAAGCGAGTACGATCTTAGTCACCGGTTGATATATGGCCATGGACAACTTCTCTTGTGTGACCAATGTAGGAACAGCGCTAATAAACCCAGTGAAAGTAGTTTGTGACTCACTGGTTCGACTAGGTCCATTCTGTGGTTATTTCTCAATAATTTTCAGAGAAGTAAGTAAACCACAATGATGAAAGGAAGGAGAAAGTATGGAGACATGTTATTAAAGGAAACGGATAAGGTTTGGTATAATTGTTTTCAAAATAAAATGGATAGGTGACAATGGAAGGAGGAATGTGACCATAAATCAATGCAAGTTCGGGTGACAGGGATTCCAGCCGGGGAATGGGGGTGGAGAAATTGGAACTGATCGAAAGTGATTAGCAGCGATTCTGAGACTGAAAGTGAAACCAGGCCAAAGTCTCGATGTGGCACAAAGGCTACGTTGAGAATGCTAGAGTCAAACAAAAACACAGAAAGCCAATCCTTTGAGCCCGTCAGAGCTGCAGATAGCTCGTGCTGAGCTCTATGAAGCTCTTATTTTATCCTGGGATCGTAGGTCTTAACAGAAGAAAGTCGATGACTTGAAAAACGATCAGAAGTAGGTTTTCGCAAAAATTCTTTTCATAAGTAAATTTTTCAAGCTGTCAGAACGTCGGCAAGAAGGAAAGCGTTGTTCAGAATCCTGTAACAGAGTCGAGGCAGTAATAGGGTGACGAAAAAGCGGGTCGTCGTCGGGTACTGGAACAAGTTTGGTACAAAAGTTGACCATAGTCGTTTAATCCCTATGATAGGAGGAAAAACATGACCATCGCTGATTAATGCGTTCTCGTAACGGCGACGATTGCTGCGCGGCTGCTGCGGCTCTATCTGGTGTCCACCACCCGCTCACGTTCTCCGACCCCGATCAAGGCACGAAGAAATGGGAGACATAAACGCTCGCCGCCTAATTAAATCACAGAAAGTTGCTTGATGATCCTGATCAAGTTCATGCACTTGGAACGTGATCGCAACCGCAACATTCGGACAAGAGTGATCACAAAATGATTATGAAGTTGGGATAGAAGGATAAAGGGATGAAGCATTTGCCGTCGATCAATCCCTTCTCGAGAAACGCCTTCGAATCCAATTCCATTTGTCCATTCGTAGTGGCATTTTGAATGCGATTTGGCCTACACACTGACTTGCGGGCGCTAGTCGATGTACAAGTCAGTGTTTTTACCCTCCCAGACAAGGCTGGACCAATTAACCGATCCCGGAGGGATGGAAGGCTCGGTTGGCGCAAGCGACGCACGACCCAGGATTTGATCCCCGGACTGCGCGCGTGGTAAGCGTACCACTTGCCACTTTACCAGTTCCGGCCATGAGTTTGGGATAGGAGGCGTAAAGTATAAAACACTCGACCTTGATCAGTCCTTTCTGCAGATGCGTCTGGTATTTCAATTTCATCAAATCGTGGTGACTTTTTTAGAAGCGATTCAGCCTACGCAATTTTGCGATTGCTAGCAGATTCGGTAGGAAGTTTCTTGGTCTTTCCAGACGAGTCCTGTACCAATGAATTACCATCTTATCGGACAAGCACCAATCAATCGATTCTGAAGGGCTGGAAGGCTTGATAGAAGAGAGAAGGATTCAAACTAGCTCTTTCAACTCTAAACTAAACTCTAAGACAGATCACCTCTGCCACGAAGATTTGTTCTAAGGGGAAAACCACATCATTGACTAGCAAGAATAGGAACATTTTTTAGGCCGAAGCAACTGTGCGTCCCCGAACATGGCCAGGCGACATCGCTGCAATTCTTTTGACCTTTCATAGTTTATCTATAGTAAGAAAGGCTAATTGTGTTGCCCAGTAAAGCTCAGGTAGAATTTTCATGTTGATTAACCACATCATCTTCCCCGGAGTTCATAAGCAGCTAACACGAACAGAATGGTGTTTTCGCTGTTACTGCGTTGGTGGAACAAACTATGGGCAGTGATCACGATGACTGAAGGGCGGTGCGGTATTGATGACGTCATTGAACGTCATTGGTGGAGTGATCTCAATGTACGCGGTCACAACCACACAGTGAAGGGATGGCCATGGCGTTTAATAATGCCGTCAAATCATCATCATCATCACCGTCCGGCCATATTGATAGCTGCCACTGAAAGCAGATTCAGAGATCAATCAGGTTTGGTCACCGCTGCCGAAGAGAAAAAATTAGGAGCTAATCAGTCCTCCAGCAGTAACAATAGCGGAAGAAACTGCCAAAACCTGCCAAACCCGTTGAAAGGAGGTCCGCTTCTCGAATGACTCTAGAAAATGGACAAGTGCACTGTAATACAGGGGAACGGGTTGAGTTTTTGACTACTTATCAAATCCATTGAGATCACTGCCATCCCACCTTGACATGCACCCTCTGATGTGATGCAAATTATTTCTTACCACATCATGATTAACTGCGGAATGGGCGAAACCTTGAGCGCCCTAATTTTGTAAGTTCCTCAGAAGTTCCTAAGAATCCGATAAAGCGAAGGAGCAGCGCGCTTTCGGATTCCTGCATCTTTTCCCCGCGAGGGTTCCATTGTTCCAGATAATCGCAGACTCTGCCTTCAAGAAAAAATTCTTGCCGAAAGTTGAGACCATTGACATTGTACTCCTGAACCTCGCTGGTAGTAGAACACCGCACCAGGAGCTGGGCAACATCACCGTGTGTCAGTTGAGGTAATTTATCGAATATAAACTCTAGGTTATCTATGACAACTTCATCTAAACTTTCTTGGCATAAGAAAATGCACCGAAATCAACATCTATGTACGGGGGTGGCCGGAGGAAAGAGACCCTCGGAGCGGCGCTAATGAGACTTCGCTAAATTCAAACCGAATGTTCCCAATTGAAGATTAAAGAGCATATTCCGTACTATCAGAAAAGGTCATGATAGCCTTCTGAACCGACGAGATCAGAAGAATACACCATGAAAACCTTGTGCACGGTTCGAGCTCAACGTGCTCCTCCACGGATCGTGGACCATTATGAGGCTATTGAAAGCGCTGCCAGATTGGTCTTGCATAGTTGGAGGTACAGTTTCTAGGAAGATATCCAGCAGCTCACCGATTGATGTAACCTTGTCGCTGCTTCGGGCTGGAGCGATTACGAAAGAGATCCTAGAGCTCAACGACGACGGCAGATGACGTCATATTCAGAAGACGGTGAGGGCAGTGAAGCAGCACCTGCTTCTGCTTATGGAGGGACATTTAAGGAATATTATGCCATGAAACTTCCACCAACACAGTACCCTGGGGGATGAAAAGTTTGGTGATGTGTGCCATGGGCAAAGTGTCTCTTTTTTTGACCATCCCTGTATGCTGAGGTTCCATGAAGAGGTTGGGAACAGGTGCAGTGGAATGCCTTCCGTTCAAAATCTACGTGATTGCGTGAAAGGTGATCCGAGAAAGAGCGATCAGCACGAGATGAAAGTGAAAATTTATTGCGAAGGCGCGAATTC